TAGTTACTTAGTTATGGATGAAGATGCGCGCACACACACACACACACACACACACACACGAGAGTGCGCACAAACACACATTTATGCATGTAGAAGGTGAATTTATACCCCTTTGTTAGGCCCGATTCGATTGCCGCCCAACTGGCCTTTCATGCACCAGCGACGCCGTCGTCAGATGGCCCGGCGTCAAAGGGCGGCACTGGCACCACAGCAACTGAGCTCACAATTGACGCATGTGCCGCAACCGGCAGCACGTGCGCAGACGCAGCAGGTACAGACACGCAGACACGCACATGCAGCATGTAGCCGTGGCTGGTGTAGGCGAGGAGGAGGGTGGCTAAGACGCGGAAGAGAAAGCATGCATTGGGCTTATTCGACCAAACAGTCCATCTCATGATTCCGGGAGCCACAGAGTAAACAGTGACGCCACCAGAGAGTACACATTCACCCATAACAACGTCTTTATTATGAACACACAAACACACAAACACATAAAAACACACCACCACACACATACACCTGCAGGTGTACATGGTCAGGTTAACACAAATTAGGAAGTTGACTCCCGAAAGGCGAGATGCAATTACCAATTGAAACGGCCAGACATGCAGTCTCGTCGGCCGGCTGCAGGCCTCGCCAAGGCAGGAAGGACAGAATCCGACTTCGTGAAGAGCAGGAAAGCCTGCGACAGCACAGCCCTCCGCAAGAGGGCATGGACGAGGGGATAGAGACGAGAGATCCGAAGGAAAAGAATCAAGTCTGCAGCTCCCACGTACAGACTTACTCTGGGCAAATTCAATTTCCTTACCATGTGTCCGTCAGTCTAACAGAGTCAATAGAAAATATACTCTTCAAGGAGTGGAGCTATCATTTCATTCCTTTACTACTACCACTAATACGACTAGTACCACCATTGATATCACCACTTCTACTACTATTGTTGCATACTATTAAATATTACTACTACTATATATTATGACTATTGGTGCGACTGCTGCCACCACCACTACTACTACTATTAAAATAATAATAATAATTATTATTATTATTATTATCATATGCTTGTTATCCGGCTGTCCCTGTCAGGGCAGGATCAAACAACTTCTAAGCACGTAATGCTGCTCGGTGCTAAGGAAAACGCAAGATTGATTCATTTGGATGAAATTGCTGTGCTCCACCCACAAAGATGATCCATGTCCCGGAATAGAACAGGTACATCAAATGGGCGAAAAAGCCTTAGAAAATGACACTCACTAAATTTATCATAACCGTCTCGACTTAAAGCCCAGGTTTGACTTGTAACTAAATCAACCGTGGTCGTCAAGGTGGACTTAAGTGTGTAGGAGATTTGTGCTATCAGTACCCCTGAGGGGATTCGAGCCCAGATCATGCGCGTCGAGTGGGTCATAGGGCAAGCCTAGCCTCTCTTGAACCACATTTGTATACTGGGCCTGTTGATGAAGCAGACATATGCCTATGACGAGCAACTAGGATTCGATGAATCTCTTGAGATAGTGATAGATGATGACTTTCATTTCGCGCCAAAATGCATGATGAAGAGATTCGAATGTCGAGCCCACCAGATGGCGAAGCAGTGTCAACTTGAAGTGATTGAGCTGGAGGTCTGAGAACTCGTCCGGTTTTAACCCAAAGACAAGATAGAGGTTGTTTGACCTTGTTTTCGCAACATGGTCATATTGGTAGGAAGACTTATTGAAATGCACCTAGTTCGGGGTCCATTGTATGCAAAATCATTTCCAAAGTTGAACCGTGGACATGGTACATTCCCGCTTCACTTGTCTCTTTGACGAGTTGTTGTGTGGTGCTAAGAATAGCGATACTGACTGACGATGTCGGCAAAACTTTTCGGAATGTACCACGTCCACGGTTCAACTTTGGAAATGATCATGCAGACAATGGACCCT